CCCCCCCCCAATCTTGGTATAAATCTGTCATGGCAACATTTATTTTCTATGGTGCAGCTATAGTGGTATCTTTATATCACCTCGGTCCGTAAATGGGACAAGACTTATATTGTACTCAATAACATTCAGTGTTAAAAGTGATGTTTTACTCTTCTTCAACTACCACCTCAATGTGGGTATAATTTGTTAGGCTTTGTTGCTCATTCTCTTGTAGAAAAATCACTGGACTGGCATTACTGGGAACAGAAGCAGGATAAGGACAAGCTATAGGGATAGCAAATTTGATGCTGGTATAACTTAGTTCCAAATAAGGGATAAGTGGAGTTCAGCATGAGAGAACAGAAATAGTCAGACTCTTCACAAACAGGCTTATTTGGGATTAACAAACCACTGAAGTAACAGGTTTTGGCACAAAATAAGTGTTACAGATCAAGCCAACCACACAAAATAACATCCAACTTAAGTCAAAACATTTTTCAGATAATAAATAATTATAGGCCAAGTTGCAAAGACATAAACATATAGCAAATATAAGTAAAATCTTATAAATCCTTTTTGAAAGCTATCTTCCACACACCCACTCAACTGCTTTTGAAAAGTTGACAAATCTCAGAAACACTATCTCATGCAGTGTGTAAGATTTTTTCTTAAGCTTTTACGCAGAAGGACACATAAAAATACACAGACAATATCAGAAACCTTTAGACTGAAAAGCATTATCGTTTTCTTTAAAATGTTAATTAAACAATTTATCTTTTTGTAGCATAGTAGCAGATAAATTTGTTTACAGCATCAATATTACTGTCATCTATCAAATGAAGGAACTGTCCCCCCCCCCCACATTGGCTAACAAAGGAAAATAATTTCATGAATACAAGAAACTCCAAAGATCAGTTTTATAATCTATTTACATTTAGACTAATTTTAAAAAGAAAAACCGACGGAAAGCAATATAATGCAAATGTCGCATTTTGATAATGATTACAATGTGGACACTATCTGTTGTAGTCCTGTTACCAATATGTTTATACGGTATTAAGAAAGCTCTAGATGAGTCCTCCTACAGGGAAACAAAAATAGATAAATGTTGCTGTGATCCAAATTTATCTGAGAACAGTTAATTAAATAGGGAATTAATAGCTTTGTATAGTAACAGACTTTATTTTTCAAATAATATTTTGAGTCATAAACAAACGATCAAGAACAAAAACAGGAGGTAAGATTCCTCTAGGTTCTGCTCTGTGACTGAAATATCTGGTTTTCTCCTTAGAACAAATAATATTAAATAATTCAAATACAGACACTGTGTGCGCTCTCTTATTCCTGTTAATTATGGACCATAATGTGAGAGTTTCACATCACCTTGTTTCCTATTCATACTGGATCACAGATGTTGTAATATTAAATGTACATTTTGTTAGCAAAGCTTCATCATAAAGCATTCCCACTCCACAGACTCTGATTTAAACCACTGGGTGTCTATTCAGAGGGAATGCATTTAAGAGTTGTTAGGCTGGGGATGGCATTCAAGATCCAATCTGCCCATTGCTTTATATTAGTGTTGTGACCTGAGGTATTGTTGACTATTTTTGTAATGCCATGTATTTATCACAGTAAAACCAAAGGACTTTTATAAGGTGTTCCGCCATATATCCTGCCATTCTCCCATGTCAATAATGGGTGATTTTACTTATTTCTAACAGATGCTCTTGCGTTTTCACAGAAATCAGTAGAGCAACACAGCAAGAATTACAATACTATCTTGCTTACCTATGAGCACATATGACTGCAGAATTCTGAAAACATTTTGTGAAAAATTCCTGTGTGATTATTCTTTTTTAAATAGATATTATTTCTTATCTTAACAAATTGAGGCAAAAGTATTAAAAGTTACTGCTGCGCAAGAATAAGTTAATCTAGAAAGGACTACCATTGTTTATGGTAGCACTTGTTTAAAAACTATTCTTCAAAGTATAAAACAGTTTTTCGTTATGATCCTAAATTTCAATGAACTCAGAAGACTCGTATTTGAGTAAACATATGTAAAGGAGTAAGTAATAAACACATTTTTTATTTTACTCAAGATACTATCCTCTACAAATCCATATGCATAGACAGCAGTTTTCTTTTGAAAGAATGAATCATTTTTATGATCAAGGGTAATTTGCCTGAAACAAATCCAAATTTATTCTAAGCTCAAAGAACACTTATCTTTTCACATGACAAATAAAACTTCTTTTAAGTCTATTGAAAAGGGCTGATTGTAATATTAATGCCACAATAACAAAAATAGATCTTTCCTAATAAATCAACGTAACCTGTTGATACTAAAGAAGAAGAAGAAGAAAACCCTGCTATTGTTACTTGACTTAATTATAAGCACGTTCATCTTATTGTGATCTCTAAAATCTGAGCCCAGGATTCCTTTCAAAGCATACAGTAATATGCTTTTATATAATTTTAAAGTAGCAAAAAGGAAGTAAAGAAATAAATAAAGTTTATGACAAGGTTATGGAAATTGTTGCCAAACATGAAAGTATAAATTTTTTTTGCTTTATTTATTACACACACATGTAAAATTAGGAATGATATTACATGAATATATTTTTTAAAATATACCTAAAAAGCTTTTGTTTTAAAAAAGGAAGAATTCCATTTAAGTAGATACATTACCCTGTGCCTGAAATTCATTCCAGTCAGGGTATAATTCAGCAAGCTGATGACAACACTGCTAGCTCCGAAAGAAAAGAGGAGACCAGATTGGACAAGAATGAGCTAACAGATTGTGCAGTCCAATTCTGTCCCTTTAAGTGTGATATATTGTTTCAAGATGCTAAAACCCCATACTTTCTCAAAGCATTATCTGCTGTCCTGGTTTTCCCATTTTCGGGGAATCCTCATTATTAGTACTCTGTCGCCTTTTCAAAGCACCTCAGACTCAGACCATATGCCACTGCATAATGCTTATCGATGGTCTGAAAATGGCCAGTAAAGAAAGATGGGTTGCACAAAGAATGAGGAAAGTGATGAAGTCTTAAAACAAAATATAATCACACATTTAACATCTGGCACAAATGTTGTGCAATGTTAAAATGTCCCTGTGCTAAGGTACATTTTTTTTAAAAAAAAATCTGACATCATTCAATACTACAAAAGAAAGTGGTTTTGAAAATGCAAAGACAGATTCTTCTCAACCTTCTTCCACATTATTTATGGACAAAAATGCTGATATGCATCACTCTAACTGATGTGACTTAATACTGGGCATAATGTTAGAACTGAATCTAAATTACATAGTAATTTTCAGGCAGTTATATCTTTTCCACCTAATCGGTTTCCCCAGAACAGAAACTATCCAGGCAAGGTCAACCACAACTTATGCAACTTACTCTTCACTCTAGGGTAAAAAGTAGAGATAAATATATCATCAAGANCCAAAACTGGATGCAGTATTTCAAGTGTGGTCTTACCAAGGTATTATAAAGTGGTATTAACACTTCACGTGATCTTAATTCCATCCCTGTGTTAATGGAGCCCAGGACTGCGTTGCATTGGCTTTTTTGGCAGCTACAGCATACTGCTGGCTCATATTTAAATGATTATCCAATAGGACTCCAAGATCCCTCACAATTACTACTTTTGAGCCAGGTACCACCTATACTACACCTGTGCATTTGGTTTTTCTTGCCTAAATGTAGAACCTTAAATTTTTCCACTATTGAATTTTAATTTATTAGATAGGGCTTATCTTCTGAAGTGTTGGCTATTCCTGCCAGGATGCAGCAATGTATGTTAGTATGGTGGATATTTTTTTTGATATTTTACCATAATAATATGTACAATGATGTTACACTTGTATAATAATTAGTAAACCAGTAACTATTAATATAATAATATAATATAATAAATATAACATAATAAATATAATAATATAATAAATATAAATATACTAATTAAGAATATATATATCTATATATATTCTTAATTAGTATTGTAATGTGATATAGCACATGTAGGATTGTTTCTGTTCTATTTTTTCAAAGAACTGTAAATAAATAAATAAATAAAAATAAATAATTATGAAATATAAGAATGTTTAGGAAACCAGCTCATAACATATGTGTTCTATGCTGTTATACAGCATAGACTTACCTGCTTTTTTTGAATAATAAAATATTCTGAATGATAAATGTGATCATTGGTGGGATCTTCCACCCAAATCCACCAGGGCTCTCCACCTGTTCCATGCACCTATGAGGCAAAGTAAATAAGTAAATAAGCAATGTTATATATGTGTTCTCTTAAAATTTTCCTCATTTTATTTATTTATTTATTTCACTAGGCTCATATGGCACCCTATTCATTTAACTGATGAGGCTGACATTCCTGACCTGTATGAGGCTAGTTAAAATGACAAAAAACAATCAACAATCAACCATGTCAATAATAAAATATCCCAATGCTGAGGAATATGTTATCTGTGAATGAATCATTTTGATAAATGAAGGATAGTTTACTGTTAGTTTACATTTGAGCCCTTATAATATAGGAAGCATGGTGTCTGCTTTCTACTTACATGCCCTCACCCACAGGAGGACTAATAGGTTCATTTTCTTATACACTTATTGTAAAAGCTGAACTACATGGAATTCAGACAACAAATTATGAAACTTAAGTTCAGATAGTTTCACAAAAATGTTTAAAATGCACGTATGATAACTGGCAACAATCTAGTCCTATTTATAAACTTCAGTGAAAAAGTAAATCTGAAGATGGAGAAGGTGAGAGATTTTTCCTTTCCTTTCCTTTCCTTTCCTTTCCTTTCCTTTCCTTTCCTTTCCTTTCCTTTCCTTTCCTTTCCTTTCCTTTCCTTTTCTTGTACAAAAGTTATAAGTAGAATAGGGATATGGGATCAGGCTTTGGCATGTCAACCTGAATGTGCATAGCTGAAGACAGGCAGTATGGGAACCATAATTTCCATTGTACTATGTCCTATTCTAGATATTCTTACCTGATCATTCCACTTGAAATCAGGGGTGATATTTAACCTAACTCTCAGAACAGTACGAGTAATCGGCTGGATGGTGGCTTCCACTGAGATAGAGGGAATTTGCTGGACGCACTGTTTGACCTTTAGTCCAATATTTACATGATGGAGCATATGACCTGCAAAATAATATGAAATTTGAAACAAAATAATGTTTATAAATATCTAAAGTGAAGGCAAAGGTACTTTATTACTTGTCTTTCACAGTTTCAAGGCTTTATCTGACTGTTACCCTGACTAGCCTTCCCCGACATGGGGAACCAAATCAAGGAGCATTCTTGCTGTACAAGCAGATCTTGACACATGACATAAAGAAAGTAATATTTAACTTAAATTTGTATTTGTAGCTCATAAAATGATTTTAAACTATAAGTCACTGATTAAACACCTCCTAACAATTTTGATTAATGCCACTCTTATTTTACTTAGAAATACTGACCTTGGACATAAAATCCATTAAGTATTTTCCTAAATATAAAATCGGACCTTACTAGGATGCTTTCATTGAATCCTTAGAATTCCATTCACATACATAAAATATAAAATAACCGACGGGCGTTGCTAGTAAATTAAGTCTGACTAAAAAACATCCCAGGCAAGGATATATTGAAAAATGTTGAGATATAGAATTGCTACTTTCTTCTGAGTCCCTGGGAAAAAGAGCCAGTTTTGTAACAGAACTCCAAAGAAGAGCAGCAGATGTGCACCACGAGGATTCCAGGTCCTGGCAAGGAGACCATCAGACCGGAAACAAAAACCACAGGTCCCTCTAATCCCACGACTCTCTACTATTGGCAATTATCCGAAGTCTCATGCAGATCTTAGTCACCATACTTGCAAGAAAAGGATTCAGCTAGGGCCCCCTAGTAGGTTATAAAAGAAAAGGAAGATATGAATAGATCTGTAATTTTATGCCAAAAGCTTTTATTCTGAGCTCAGATAAAACAGGGAATGTTATAACTAAAATGGGCAGCAGTGAAATAAACTAGTTTTTTTTGTAAAGGTCCACATACACATACAGGGCTGCAGGAAAAAGATCAGAGTTTGAAATTCCTGGTATCTCTTAAGAGGGCTGATCAGCACTCAGATCAGCATAGGTTAACTCCAAAGTCAACTTCAGACCAATAGTCAAGTAAGCAACACCCCAATCAAGAAATTGCTGAAGAGCCTTTAATAAACTGCCCAACCAAAGAATCCCTAAGACCGCCCCCATTCACACAGACAGGGAAGACACCAGAATATAAACCGACAGCAAACAGCACTCCTTACTAGCACCGATGATGTTACCTAGTTAGGGCAATGAAACCGCTGCAAGAAAACAAGCAAGTTCAGAGCGCATCAAGGACCCCTCAGACTGTTAAATATTAAGACACATTCATTTCTCCTTGGCATCTTACCAATTTCATCTTTCCTCATGTCCTTCAACTTATCAATGGTAAGATTCTTCTGTTCCAGCTTGGCAAGGACTGGTGGGGGCAGGACAGTGAACTGCCGCAAAGGGCTGACCCAACCCCACAGTCGCTTGTCGATAACCTTGCTGAGATTTAGCAGTCGGTATGTCATTGCTGGCCATCGCTTACGAAGGGATATTTCAAAAAGAGCTCGAACAATACGTGCAGCATTCTGTCAAATAAAACAATAGTAGCACATTATATCACATCTATTCCTTTGCCACTATTATGTTAGAATAGAATAGAATAACAGAGTTGGAAGGGACCTTGGAGGTCTGCTAGTACAACCCACTGCTTAGGCAGGAAAGCTTATACAATTTCAGACAAATGTTTGTCCAACATCTTCTTAAAAACTTCCATGTTGGAGCATTTACAATTTCTGGAGGCAAGTTGTTCCACTGGTTAATTGTTCTAACGGTCGGGAAATTTCTCCTTAATTCTAGGTTGCTTCTCGCTTTGACTAGTTTCCACCCATTGCTTCTTGTCAAGCCATGTTCACTGGCTTGAATCAGATAGTCACAATGATAGCTGACATTCGGGACCTTCTCCGTTATGGAACTCACACTGTGAAAATTCCAACAGAAAGATGTAACTGGGAGTGTAACGTTTTCCCACACAACTTTGTTCTGCATGACATTTTCAGATGCTAGCTGGCACCAGAAAATTCTTTTTTCTTTTGCTAGTATATACAATAATTTGGTTTGCATTTGTTCATTAATTCTTTTTTTATCTTTATGTATCACTTAGAAAGAGAACTCCAAAATAGTAATAATAATCATAAAAATAATTTGGGTAGCCACTGAAATAATTGTTGGGTATATTCTGTAATCCTTACTTCTATATAACAATTTTCAGAATGAGCAAGATGGCTGAACAAAGGGAACATACTCTATAGCCCTTTGCAGCACTTAGGGATTTCAGTAGAGACAGACCTTGGGATGCAAAGTCAGTGTGAAAAAGATCCTATGTTGAAAAGCTGTAGATTTTTAAAGCGAAAATACTACTCCCAGCTTGACAACTAAATGTGGACATAAGCACATAGACTTTTGGCTTTCTATGTATCTTAGGTAAGTCATTGGTAGGAGAAAGAACTAAATTTTACCTGTGCAACATAAGCAGAATCTGAAATTAGGGAAAAACTATCCATCTCTCCTCGGCTAACATATGTTTGCAGAAGGATATTTATTTTCCCATAATTGTTCTCCACACCACCAGGTGCAGCAAGTTCACAGAAATTGCTCAGCAAGGCTTCCAGCTCTTCTATTTCTTCTTCTCTCACCTGAAATATAAATTAATGGACTTTGAAAAGGCTGGTGCGACTTGTTAAATCTTCCACATGCAAATTAAATGTCAATTATCTCTCAATAAATGTGTTTTAAAACATTCTACAGTTTCTGAAAAACAAGTCTCCCAGCACTATACTTAATAGAGCCTAATTGAAACAATCTTAATAACGACACAATTATATTTCATTATACGTCATCTTTTATTAAGATTGCCATTGACAGAAATGTACCTCACAAATTAAATATTTTGACCATGCCATGCTTCACCTGATAAGATTTCCCTTTTTATCTGACCTCTAGTCTTTTTGGATTAGGGCAAACTTGAATTAACTTTAAATGCATTCATTAAAATTACACAGTTTGCATGGGGCATATTATGTTTTTAGCTTAAAACTCTGAAGTACTATGATTCATGATATTAAGGCTTTCACTGTTAATAAGATTAAGATTTAATATAACTAAAGATATATTCAAATCTACACTTTGAATTATGCATAGTATTCCAATTTCTCATTCCTACTTGCAAAGCAGAGGTGAATTTACATATTCTTTGATTCCGTGAAATGTTCTTAGCCTAAAACTTGTTTAAAGAAGGCATATGTTTGCACTTGACAGGGATCACCTGAAGGCCATTTCCCTCAAACCCTGACCATTTATGCAATATAAAAACTAAGAAGGAAACTCACAATAAATAATTTTCAGCATTGTTTTTTCCCCCCAGTCCCCATCTTTCATCTTAAAAGAGACTCAATTTTGTTAACAACCGAATGATTGCATTTTGTATGTTGGCACATGTTGTTAGCTCTGGTATGAAAAAAAAAAATCAATGGTCAATCAGGCCAATCAATGGCTTGATCAGAGGTAGCTATTCTGCTCCTCTATCATGTCAATTTTGCTTATTAGAAAGGAGACTCTCATTGCCTACTGGTCAAACCATGTATCCAATTTCAAAAGAGATTTGGGAAGTTGCAGTGGCTATTAATTCTAAACCAAGAAAAAGCTAATCAATGAAATCCCAAACACACCTTAGTAAATCAAAGCAAAATATCCCCTACCACATTCTTTCATTCTTAAAATATTGTTAGAAGGCACTTTTTTTTGTAATACTCTGGAATATACTAATTATTGATACACTTTAATCAAAAATTTAGTGAATTAAAACCAAATCTAACACAGATACTTGTATAAAAACTTTCTCTAGGTAAAATATTTGGTGCATTTAAAAAAACGTACTTTGGAATGACCCTTTTGATATTTCCAGATTTGGAACAAAATGTGATAATATTCAAGTGTGTTGCTTTGAGAGTTTCAAGTTGCAACTGGTTTTATTTTGTGGCTTGTCACTAAATTTATCCTTAAAAATTTCCTCAGCTCAGTAGATGGTTTTTGCTCCTCTCTCAACCAAAATTTCAGAAAAGCACACACTGTAGCTGTTGCTAAATTACTGTCCCCAAGATACATAGATCCCCCATGTGTATAAATGCATAGATGGGCTTAATTCAGAAATGTAACCATTTCAGGAAATCACATTTCACTGAAAACAGAGATTCTGACTGTAAATAAAATAAAAGCATTCTGCCTTCAAGCAAGTTGAATAGTAGTACCAAAGCTATGTATATTTGCTTTTCAAGTGATTGTTCTATAAAACTGGGAAGCAGGGTTTTTATGGTTCTGCCTGACCTGACTAGTGACTGAGAAAAAGGATAAAGCAGCTGAAGAAGTTGCAGAAAAGTAAGAGAACCCGAGATAACATATCCATTAGATTAATATTGCATATGTTAATTTTCCAGAAATACTTTGATTCATATTTTTGTTTCGTTTGGTTTAAAAAAAACAGCACCTCTGACTAAAAACACTTCTGGACACATTATGTAAGGTGTATTCACAACAGCAAAAAAAAAGAAATGTGAAATGTTCTAACCTTGATTTGGTCAAATTCTTCAGCTTTAGAAACAATAGCAAGAATGTCACCTTCTGTTTTATGAGCATCAAAGAGTTCATTGAAAGTCTGCAAAACCAAGAAACATCAGTCTGCTGTTTAAAGCATTATTTACAAATACACTCCCATCCAACCACTAGACGCTGAATAAAGATAGGAAGGAACAAATTGCAGAACAGATCAAGAAAAAATAACAGCCAACATATTGATATTAAAAATAAATTTCAGCTGCCCATATTTAAATGCAAATTGATTAATTACCTAGGCAAAAATGAACTGATATAAAGTCCATTGAAAAATAAAACAAAAATTGAATAAGATTCACTCATAGAACCTCTTTGAAATTCAGAAAAATAAAGGTCAGCACTTTTTAGATGTACATTGCAATTTCCAAGGTTTGTGCATGTGCATGTAGGTAAACATGCTAACAGATCTTTTATGAATATAAATGCTTCTTATATATTATTTTATGAAATCATTCTTGTGATTTTAGAATCCTCTTTTACTACAAAGTGTGAACTATAATGTAGATCTGCAATTATTATCTCCACACTGCTGTTTTAGACTGCTAATCAGACACAAATTACTCCCTAAAGAAAGATAACAAGGTTGTTAAATATAATGCCATGCTTTTGCTTCATAATATACTAAATTATAGGGAACATTACCTCAATTGTGTTATATTTAATGTAGTAGTGGCTTGCAATTCTGCCTAAATCAGTTGAAGAAAAAAATCCAGTTCTCTCTTCAAACCGAATCATCCGGGCTTTATCCAGTTTTCGGCCAACTTCAATCACCAACTGTTCTCTGTGCTTCTCTAAACTTGGATCCATCTGAAATACAGTCAGGAATTGCATGTTAAGGATGGATGGATGGACAGATGCATAAGACAGAAGGTAAATGTGATCTTGCCTTATTTTTTCCCTCTCCTCCAACAAAACACATAGCAATGGGTATATTTTAGTGGATTTTATTGTGGAATTAATAAATTAATTAATTATCAATTAATTAATAAAAATTAATTAATTGATTGAGAATACTTAGAATTAAAATATTTATTAAGTTAATCTGACCCTCTTATGGTCAAATAATGTTTAGAATACCCTTGGGAACCCAAAAGGAGACAGGAAATTCTCAAGGTAAATTAAGAAAAGAATGGATATAATTATAGATGATTATAACTAACACTGTTGTTACAAAAGATATTAGATTTTAGGTTTTACCTTTAATAGTGAATAATTATGAAATGGTGATAAGGGGAATCTTAATTTGCTATTTATTTCTGGTAGAGATGGGAAGGCCCTGTCTCCATTAATTTTCTAGTTACAATCCGACACAATTGCAAGATCCGTGTCTAAAGCTAATACCAAAACTTGAGATTAATACTATTTTTCTTTCTGTGCCTGGTGATTCTGAAACGAAAGTAGTGTTATTTTTAGCAGTGTCTACATGGTAAATCTTTGATATTTAAAACTGTATGAGGAACTTTAAGTATTTCCTTTAGTCTTTACTAACTGAACACTGTGTATGTGTGAATATCTATTCTAATTATATTTGATGACAGACTATAATGGCTGTGATATTTCTTATTTCATTTTTATGTAAACCTGACATTTAAGGCTAAAAAGCTGGCAGAGAAAATGCACATAGGATACACAAATGTGAGTAATTTGATCAGGTTTCACATATTTAGCCTAACTGTTGAAAACTTCATCTACCACAATTCCCCAGAAAAATAACTAAGGATGCTCTTTTTTATGTTTCACACTGAACATTTTCAAAACATATAGGAGTTGCTGATCTCAGGAAAACCAACAAGGGCAAATATTTAATCTCCCATCAGGAAAGGATTACAGAACCAGAAAGCAAGTTAGGTTTTTTGCACATTTTCTACCTGATAAGCTTTGTGACTGATGCCATATACTAATGGGTTTGCTCTCATCCGTACATAAAGGTAAGTGTAACTTATCCACTTTACTGCTTCCTCAACATTTGTCACTGTTCCAAGAGCAATCTGCAAGTGGGGAAAAATAAAAACAAAATTTCATGTTAAATGGTTTATAAATAGGGTTTATAATGTTCCAAGTTTTATATGAGCAGAACTGAATATTCCAGAGGAGTATTGTAGAGAAAGATTGAAAACTTACCAATGAAGTGGTTGAAATGTACTTTTAGAACAAAATATATTCCTTAGGCCCACAATTTACTTTGTTGAGATAAAGAGGGAGGAGAATTATGTGACATTGGACTGAGTAGGGGAACATGTTCATTCCCTTTTTTGCTGCTTGTCTGAGAAGCCTTCTATCCTGAGTTTTCTCCTGAACATTGGGTTATATTTTTCTAATACCCCAAAGCAAAGCACTTTTCAGATTGCCACTTTATATTTACTTCAGAATCAGATTTTCCATTTTGTAATTACTATGATGGAATATATAAGCTCAACTGTCCTGAACACCTGAAGTATGTACATTGGGAAAAAAATTAACTATCCATTTTATAAATAAAGCCAGTTTTTCTTCATGGATTCTTTCACATCAAATGACATTCTGAAAGGATTTTTTAAAGGGAGGAAGGAAAAAGGGAGGGGGGAAGGAAGATAGGCAAGCAGGCAGACCAATTGCTTAAATAAGCAACTGCCATTTATCCAAGGTAACTGACATATTTGATAAAGTATAATATAGCTGAATTTGAAAGCTCACTTGCTGGAATATCACACAAAGGATATAATTAGTTGAAACCTCCAGAAAAGCTAAATGTCTACACTCCCTCTTTGATAATCTTGTGCTATAATGCACTAGGTATCTATACAGTCACTTAGTATTGACAATGAATTGATCCCACATCAATTCCACTACCCCTCCACACCGGAACATCTACAATTCTAAAAATGCATTTAATTGTGGAAAGTAAGATCAATGAGTTCGGGTAGAATCACAGTTAAAAAAAGTAAATGCAAATTATTTTTCAAAATTTCAAGAATAGACTTTAATGATTCTTTGCGTCTGACAAAACTTCCTAAAAGGAAGGCAAGGTGTAACTGCCATTCCTAATTATACAGATCTTCCTGCATTTTTTAAAATTTGCTCCAGCAAGAGTTCAACTCTTCTCCCACAGTATTTAGCTAACTTTAGCTGACTTCAGAAAACTAATCAGAATTGAATCAGATTATAACCTGGATAGAAGATGGGCAGAACATATCAAAGCCAAGAGAAAGACCAGTGCTCAATTGGTAAGAAAGTGAGTAAATTAGTCAATAAACAAAAGATAAGCTCTAAATTATTACCAAAAAAACTATATGGGCATATCCAGGACATGCCCAGGAGTCAATCTGGACTTAAGAAACATTCTCTGCAAGAACAAATGGTGAATCAGAGGGTGAAAAGGACTTCAATAAAACAAACAAACAAGACTCTTGAGTAAATAGACTTTAACATATATACAAATGGGCTCTACTTTGAAATTTACATTTAAACACAACTTATTTTTTTAATTTCTCTGACATTTACTAGATAAGTGAATTTAGAATCCTGAATCTATCTTCATTGCTTAGAAATGCCATCCAGCAAATTAACTAAATTTAATATTCCTGCACCAAGAAACCTCACAGTACTGCAGAATGGAACTGTGCCATATGTCAATAGTACTTCCCTTTGTCCCAAAGGTGACAAATTAATTCTTTTTTAGTCTTCTTTTCATATTTACTTGTGTCAGCCATGTACCTTGTCTCTAGTTTCCTATGTATTTTGTAAGAATGACATATAATTGTTAAATTAGAACCATCACACACCAGACAATTATCCTACTATTATTAGAGAAAGCAATTCCATGTATGTATGTATTTATGTATTAGATTTTTATTCTGCCTTTCTTATTTTATGAATAACTCAATGCAGTGAACATATCTAATATTCTTCCTCCTCCTCTTTTATTCACAAGAGCCTATGTAGTGTGTTGGCCAAAAGTCACCTAGCTGACATGAAGCAAATTGCATCACTTTATTATCAAGGAAAATAAAAGTTAAATATAAGTTTGATACCTGAAGCTACATAGCACACATCTATGCAAAATGAGTGCAGCTCAATTTAAAAAAAAGAGAGAAAACGTAACTTGGCTAATATATTACAGATTGTTAAATTTCTTCTCATTATTCATGCAGCTGTCTACCTGTTCAACATTTTAAGATGTATATGTATGGAAACAAAATGCTTTCAGGAATAGTGGCTTAGATCCAGATGTGATAAGACAAGGCAATACTACTATTACAGTTCACTCAATGCTGAACAATTCTCAGCAAAAATTACTTCTGAATATTTGCTGCCACCTGGTGTTCATTTCAATGTGAGCTTCTAAGAATTTAAGTATTGCAAAAAAAAATCAGTATTAAATTGAAATCAATTAGTGCACAATAAGGAAATGAAAAACAAAAGGCAATGGCAAACCCATAATGTTGCCTAAAATAACCGTATTGTCTATGAAGTTGCTAAGAGTTGAGTTCAGCTTGAAAGATACTTTTTGTTATCCCCTCAGAAAATTACAAACACAAATTACCTTACTTCAGAAAGGCGAAACTTACTTCGGAAAGGCGAAATGGGAAACCAGGTATCACACATCAGTTGCACAAGAAGAGCAAGGTATGCAAAAAGAGAAGTCACCTTCTGGTTGGTGATTCAATTGTAAGGGATGTAAATTTAGGAAAGGATATGGAGGTTTTAAAAGAGATCAGGTGTCTGCCAGGTGCTACTGCCAGCAGAGACAAGAGGCNAATATAAAATGTGGAATTGATTAATAAAACATACCTCTGCATTCAAATGGTCAGCAAGGCTTTCAAGAAACTGACTTTCAATTGGATTCTGCTGAGTAAGCAGAGTCAGATAATGACTGAGTTTGTCGTGTGTTGTGATAATGACACCTTCTCCAAATTTATCAAACTGGGGCCGTCCAGCTCGGCCAAATATCTGCATGACATCTAAAATTCCAAGGTCAACAAAGGATCCTCTTTTTGCAGCATAAATCTGTGTTCCCTGTTTGACAAAAAGTTAATAAAAATTAACATAAACACACATCATTATAAATCCGATGAGCTGGAGACCAAAATTAGGCAAATACAACAGGCTTTGAAAAGTGTACTTAAGGTGATCCTTTTATAACCTGTGATATATTTAAATCTTTACTATCCAACTTGGTTCCCAGAGGAGAGAGTCAGTTTAAAAACCAACCTCTCCGAATACTGCTAGATAATTAGCAGCAGATCTTTCCTCTCCTCTTCTGCAAATAGTGAAAAAAATCATATTCCATGACACTTTATGGATGTCTAATGGCCAAAATAGACAGAGCATATGCTTTACCTTAATGATGACTGCATGAGCTGGAAGATTGACACCCCAGGCTAATGTAGCTGTACAAACCAAGACTTTTATGTAACCACGAGAAAACAAGCTTTCCACCAAAGTTCTGTCTTGCCGGAGCATTCCTGCATGATGAATACTGAATCCATCTGGAAACATTTCACGTAATTGCTTGTTTCTAGACTTCTGCACCTTTTCATTGGTAAAGGAAATACATACAAAATTAATGCAGTGTTTACAGAAAAACATAGCAATTCAAGCATGTACAAAACCCAACAGATTTTCCATGTGTGCATTAATAGGATGTAACGTTAACACACCTCTAGTCACATGTTCTGCAAGACTGATAGCTCTTAGTATGTAAGACCCTGAGCAATACAGACAATAAAATACGTTTAGATATAATCTGTTATTTGAAGAGAATTGTTAGGTTAAGCTTTGAACTATGCTCATTAAGACAAACATGAGGAAAAAATACCCCACTGAATTTGCAAAATCAGAAATTTAATATGCCAAAGGTGATGAAAAACCCATTTTTGCTCCATAACCTTGAAATAGAGGGGAGGGGGGCAGAGGGTAATATCATACTGGGAAAACTTTGCTCTAATGGCGAAGGGCAGGACAGTTAAATAAGAGAATGGTGATGGAAAGCCGGTCCCTCATAAATCAATCATCCCTCATAAATCAAACCCAAAGCCAACACAAATGTGAAACTCTTCTGTTGAGTTTAGTGGAAAAATGGTTCTTGGGCAGATGGGAAGGAGAGTGGAAGGGGGTGGGTCCCCCCCCCCTAGAATCCTCACACTCATACATAACCTATTTCTTGAAAAGAAATGCTTCCTAATTTTGAACCACTATTTGCTACAAAATATCCCCTCTACTCCCCCCCCAAAATATTTTCTGAGGTCAACACAGAAAATAATATTCCAAAACCGACTTTTTAGGTCCATTCAAAGGCACACCTCAGAGCAACCTATACTGAGGAATTTAAAGTATCCAAACTGGATAAGTAGTTTAAACCCTTATCTGTATTTCCTATTTCATTTGTATGGATACCACAGAGATTATTTCAAGGCTATTAGTTTCTTGAGATATGTACTGAGAAACTGCAATGTCAGAAAATTTGACACAATTTGTATAGGAACAAAGCAAAACAAATCCTAACATTCAGATATTTATTTCAGTATATTTATTAACATAAAACAGGCATTTCACAAAGAATAAAAAATGGCAGAGGGCTTCAAATATACATTTTGGAAGTATTTTTGAAAGAAAGTGTGTGCCTGCAACCGATTGGAGAAAGGCAGTACAGTGTAACTGACAGCTTGCTACTTTGATTTAGTATTGTTCATAATACAATGGATTGTCAATACTGCTATAATCTTCATACTTCTATCACAGTTATAGATGCTTCTGATTCTATTTATTCAACGTTGTGTAAACAACAAGGTTATAAATAAATGCCTTTAATGAAAACCCAATACAGGCATTGACAGCTACAAATTTCAATGCTAAAACTTGCCTTATGATGAATATTGTCCAATATGCAATTTGCCAATTGAAGAACCTTTCAATGCAACAAACATTTGTCCGGGGAAGGAGCATTATTTGTTCAAAAGCATTTATAGACTGTCCCAAACTGATTCATTCTAGCCAGTAGTGTTGTGGGCATACACCCAGATCTTGTAATACCTGTCACCTCAAGACCCATACTGTATGTATCTCACATTGCAGGGCACTTTTTTCTTTAATTTTCTTCTCACCATCCACAACCCCCAATAGTGAAGCTTGCATCTACCACATGTGCTTTTTATCCTCCATCAGTTGAGGATGCAATATTGGATAGAAGATCAATAAAGTGAACTGTGCTGGTTCAGAGATATCTCTCTTACTTGTTGATAATAATATTGCTTTACAAGCCTACTGTATTGGTATGTGTGAGTGTGAATGTGTGTGTGTGTGTTTGTGTAACTACAGAAATAAAGAGGCTCTAGTACTCTGTCCATGTTTGATGACATAAAGTAGACTACAGGTAGTCCTTGGCTTACAACAGCAATTGCAANGGTATAGGGTTTCCTGCCTAGGCAGGGGGTTGGACTAGAAGACCTCCAAGATCCCTTCCAACTCTGGTATTATATTGTATTGTATTAAATACAGAGCAGAAAATGAAATATGTCTAGGGCTTCACTGCAAGTACCTGTATTTCTAGAGATTCTAGTTAGGTTGTTCCTTGAGCAGGGAACTTGCATATTTTTCTGATTTATAAACAACTGCCCCAGTTGCATGATTTTTGAAAGTTTGAAAACCAGCTTTGGGAGGCAATGAGAGATTTTTTATAAATAGCAAAATAATGTGGACTTTTCCTTTTGCATAGTTCCTCAATCTCAATTAAGCCATCAAATCAGCTGAGTACTTAAAGGTGTAGTGAGAAACTTAGATAGTGCTGAATCATAGTTTCCAGCAGTTTCCTCAGTGATTTTTTTTAACCTCTTTACAAATAAACAATAGATTCCAAATGAGAGAAAAGGCCATTCAAATGATAACATTCAATGAAAGTTATGCAATATAAAACTGAAATCTAGAATATAGCCAGTTAATTACCAAAATACCTCGAGAAAAATAATGTCTGTCTAACATTTCATATATTTGTCATTTTATTGACAAATCTAAAACACTGAAATATGCTTTTACTGAAATATTTTCCACATGTGAACAATTTAAACATATGTAACAGCAAAGGTATATAGTTAAGAAAAACACGAGTTAAGCCGAGAGAACATTATAATGAAAGAAACCTTAACAAAGGTAAGTATATGATATGTATAAAGGTTTCAGTCAAAATTTTTATATTTGAGGGGGGGGGGTGAAGCATGCACAGAAGGCAAAGTATTTTTTTAAAAACTGATACAACATCAATTCTTTTCTCCAGTGTACTATCATCCTTCTTAGTTTTCCCAGACTGCTTGCTTTGGAATGTGAATGGCCATTTCTTTTCTCCAACACATGCATACCAGCTGTTTTAACATTTTATGTCCTAGCTAAGCAATCTTCTACACACTTACTGTTTTTAAATCATTATCTTTGGACCTATGTGTCACAGAGGAGAGTTGGATCCAGCCTCTGTGTTACCTCAAGTAATAAATGCAACACTGATAACCAGTTTGGTATAGTGGCTTGAAACCAAGGGACCGTGAATTCTAATGCCAACTTAAGCACAAAGACCTTGGACCAGCCATTTTTTCTCAGCCCTAGAAGGACGCGAACACAAACCACTTCTGAAAAAGCTTGCCAAGAAAACTGCAGGGACTTGTCCAGGCAATGTCTGAAAAATGGACAAGAGTAAAGGTAAAGAAAACCAAGGCAACACACTAGACATTTTCTAGCTATTGCTTCTTTCCACCCTACCATCCATTGCCTCTATACCATTTAATGCCTATTTTACCTATGATAAACTATGATTCAGGCCAGTGGTGGGATTCAAATTTTTTTTTACTACTGGTTCTGTGAGCATGGCTTTGTGGGTGTGGCAGGGGAAGGATACAAAATCCCCATTCCTTCCTCACTCACAAAATTTCCGCTACCGGTTCTCCAGAACCTGTCAGAACTGTCTTAATACCACCTTTGATTCAGGCATATAGGTATCAGTCCTGATCCCTACCCAGAGACTTACAGAACTAGTCGCAGAGTAACATTCTCTATTCCTGCCAGGCCGTTTGTATGCCTGAACCATAGTAATCTATTCATGTCTAACCAAGGCAATGCTCTTCTGTGTCTCATTCTAAACTAAGTTAATTCCAGAGCAAATGGTCTTCTTAGGCACCAAAAAGAGAATGCAGTTCCATGGTGCTTTATGAGAGTTTCAATTCAAGGCAAATGATATATCCTTGATGACAAACCTATGGCACGCGGAGCCATTTCTGAGGGAACGCGAGGCATTGTCCTGCCAGCTCTAGTGTGCATGTGTGCGCTTGCCAGCTGATTTTTGACCTTGATTTTTGGCTATTTTTCACTCTCTGGAGGCTTCAGGGAAGCCTCCTGAAGCTTCCAGAGGAAGAAAAATGGTCAAACGGGCAACCCGGAGGTCTGTCTTGAACTTTGCATATTGGGCCATTTTTTGCTCTCCCTGAGCTCTTAGAAAGCCTCTGGAACCTGGGTAGGGTGAAAAACGGACCTACTGGACCCACCGGAAGTCAGAAAATGGGTCACCTCTGGCCTCGGGACGGCCTCCGGGGGCAGTGGGGAGGCCATTTTCACCCTCCCCAGGCTCCTAGAAAGCCTCTGGAGGCTTGGGAGGACGAAAACTGTTCCTACTGGGCCTACCAGAAGTTGGAAAACGGGCTGTTTCCGTCCTCGGGGGGGGATGGGACGGAGAAGGGTGTTTTCGCCCTCCCCAGGCTCCAAGAAAGCCATGCGCGCATGCGTGGGGCAGCAAGATGGTGGTATCACATGCACATGCGGCATGGTCCGGGGGAAATTAAATCATGGGGGTAGGCATGCATGTGAGGAATTGGCACCCGAGACCAAAAAGGTTCCCCACACTGCGCTAGACAGTTTCTCTGCAACTCCTGATACATTTTTATACCAGTAAGTATTCTAGAGTAGGGCCTGATTTTTGGAATCCCTGCTTATTCAGAACTGTAAGGCACCTATTTTTTTTGTCTTTTGGATCCCTGTTGAATGATCTGTCTATATACAGATGATCTTCTCTAGATAAATGGGAAATATATTTTTTCTTTTATTTCTATCCTTTTAATGCATTCATCACACTGATGCAGTATTTAAACATTTTATCTGTTAAACTGTTTTAAGGTAAGTACATCTGAAGGAGTATTTGTGTTTGTGTACCTGCGTGAGGGCGCACTCACACAATCCCACAATCACACCTTAGAAAATATTTGTGTGCATGGTCCCACAAGGGCATCTATTTTAGTTTAAGATCTGATATCAGACACAGAATCCATAACTATGGTTAAATGCTTACTGCATCAATGAATCATAGTGCACTGTAATAACAAGCTCAAAATCCCAAACAGTAGCTCACATGGAGCCATAAAGATGCCATGACAAAATTATTAGTTGGCTGGGACAAATCCAATTTGTATAAATACAGAAACAGCTTAGAGTAAAGAAAAGCAAAGGAATAGAAAACTTCAAAAAGTCTAGAAAGGGCAAAATATGATAAATGAAAACAA